ATTGGAATGGTTACTCTTTGCAGGTGAAAGGAGATGGAGAGGAAGCCAGCTTCTGTATTCCCAGTACAGACAAGACGCTACACTTGCGCTTCGGCCTTTCGTCTTCCCGTGAGAGGCTGTCACCTCTTCAGGATCGGTTTCAGCTGCGGTACCGTCACATGCATAGTTATCAGCGACTCCACCGGATCGTGTATTTTACATCGTAATGATCCATATATTTCAAATGAATAATACAATATAAATTTGACTGCTTCGGATGGCGGTAAAGAACAACAACCTCATCTAAATCCACAATCACTTCATAAGGACAATGGAGGAGGAAATTAAAAATCCCCTTCTAACGTTTGGATTTTTGCTCTCTTCGAACTGGATCGTGGAGGTGGCTTCTTGTTTGTCGCCAATTATTGTGAAAAGGGTGGCGGACGCGTACATCTCATGTGGAGATGGGAATCCTATGCACTGTAGGACACATACGCGTAGAGGTCGGAAGCCAAAGAACAAATTGCGTCGTCCTTCGACTGATTCCTGTTCCATTGTGTTCACTTGTAGATGATTTCATGTTGATGCTACTCTTAAGTGAGTTATTTCAACAAAGATTTCGGAGTTCATGGAATCAAACACAAGAAAACTCGCTCGTATAATTGCCGCAAGCTCCATTAGTTGCACTTGAAAGAAGAATTGCGTATTAATTGCACTTACATGTAGATTATTCTAATCTGCTACATTTTACGTTAATATTATTATGTTTAGTCTTACACTTTTAATTCCTAGTAATGCGAGAGTAACTGTTGATTCATATCCATCTTCTCTTAACACCATGAACATCTGCTATTAAAAATATTCATATGCATGCGAAAAAAACTAAAAACTAAAAACATAATGGATAGACAGGAACGAAAGAGAATGTCTAATTTGACGTACGATAGTTGTACCAAGTTTCTGCATGTAAATGAGTTAACCATACTATTTTAACAAGGCAGATCTTTATAGCTTGGAAGATCGAACTACTTCGCTGTAAACACATTAACTTACCAAGTTACTTGAATGTGGGTGATGAAAATGCCACTTTTACTTGAGGGATTACTTACACTACTTGGACTGAACAGGATCTCTGCAAATTACCATATCCAAACAGGGTAAGTTTGCACGAATCACATCCCTGTTCCAACTGGTCACGTTTGCCTCCTTATGCGAAGCTAAAAATGGAGAGAAGTACTGCACGAGATAATTTGCTGCGCAGTAGAAATCATACGCGAACTTTGGACATTTAATGGCGTCTCAGCGTATACACATGAGACCTACCGTTCTTGTCCAGCTATATGTTCGAGAAATGCACAAGCCCGCTCGCCTAATATAATATGATTAGGCTGTGGTACAGTGGTAGGTGAGTGGGATTTGGCTCTTCCATTCCTTTCCATGACTCGTGTGATACTGTCACATTGTTTGATTAGTAGACGAGTCATCACCTAATCCAGAAAACAATTATATTTTTGGGCTCGAGTGTAGTCTGACCGAGACAGGCATCAGATTCGACAGACGTAATCCTTCAATGTGCAAGTAATATAATGTCATCAAGTGATTATTATATGGGAACTAATCACCGTTTTCCTTATGGTTTGTTTATTCACGACTGCACGCCAAAAGTCTTTGCATCGTCGGACACTTTTCTTGCCCGTAAGTGAATCCGGCAGCAGGTCAAGGAGATGGGGGAAAGAGAAGGCAAAAGACCGAGAAGAGAGAGGGAGAGGACCCCAGGACTGTGGGTTGTCGCCGCTGCGGGACAAGTCTGCACCCGAACAATAATGGATGGGGAGCTTGTAACGTAGTCCATAGGAACTACCGCTGGATCCCCAGACCTGTAGTCCCCCCGCATCTCTCCTTATCCTCTTCTTGTTCTCTTCTCTAGCTAGCTCGTGAAGTTACAGGCGCCCCTCAGTTTTTGACTACAAGCTCCTTCGCTCTGTTTTCACCGTCCCATGGTTGTTTGGTTGCTTACTTAACAGTTGTGTTCACATTGCAGCTTCTCTCCCTACACCACAGAGCCTTTTTATCCTCCGTATCGCCACCTCCCTGACTTCTCTACTGCTTTCGAATCAGCATTTATTTTGTAGCCCCAAGTCCGCACATCCGAGGAAGGAGGGGAAGGAGCAGAGTTCGTAATAAGTGATGATACTTGCTCTCCAGGCATTTATTGCTCCGGGCGGGTGGTGAGAGGCAGCATTTAACGGGAAGACTGGACTGTGTTTCGGTTGTGAAGAGGTGAGGTGACTGGAGACGACTGAGGGGAACCGTCAGACGTTGTTCTTCTGCCGGAAGTGTTCAAATTCTCATCAGTTGCTGTTGCATTTGCTGCTGCTTCCATGGAGCAGCTCGGAGGACCCATTAATGATTCCCTTGTAAGACCCTCAAGTATCCCAACCTATTCATTCCTTTATTATTTCCCTGTCTCCTCATATCTTGGTCCCATCTGCTTGAAGAAGACTCTTTTGTGAATGGAAAGAAGGTGAGTATTGACTACCACTTCTGGACATCCCATTCCATAGGGTGCGAGCAATGACTGCTGAAGACACCATCTATGGCTAAGCTAAAAATTTCGCTTGTTGTTTGTTGCCTATGTCTATCCCTTCTTATATCATTTTCTGAAGCAGTTGGTCAGGGAAGAGTTGAACTCGGTGTGCATGGAACCAGGAGCAGCGAGCGCCAGGTTTTCCGAGCATCCTGAAATGAGATATGAGAGCCTGTTCTCTCGCCAAATGCCTTTCCTTCAACTACTCCAGGGAGCCATGCAAGCAGAGGACGAGACGGAGGAAGAGAAAGTCGAGCTCCAACTGCAACAATATCAACACCAAAGTTTATTCACTTCTTGCGCACAAGAATCCAACATCGAGCTCCTGCTCCGGTTACAGAGACAAAACTGCCTCGAGCAACTGCGGACACCGGAGAGGGACAAGGCCCGTGCGGTGGAGCAGCTGGAGAGCTGCATCACCCACACATCCGAGTCGGAGACGAGAGGCACAGTTCACCATAAGCATCCTGTGGCGGTAACCACGACGGGGCCCACGAGATCTGCGGCTGCAGCCGGGCCGAACGAGCGGAGGAAGAGGAAGCGGCCGCGGCAGGCTTCGACGTCCAAGAGCCCGGAGGAGGCGGAGAGCCAAAGAATGACGCACATTGCGGTGGAGCGCAACCGCCGGCGGCTCATGAACGATCACCTCGCTACTCTCCGCTCCCTGATGCCATCTTCCTACGTCCAACGCGTACGCTTATAGTTCTCATTCCATGTCTCACACACACCTCTCGTCCGCAAGTCCTTGACGTGATAACGCTATGCTGTTGGCCACAGGGAGACCAAGCGTCCATCGTCGGTGGTGCCATCGAGTTCGTTAAGGAGCTCGAGCACCACCTCCTCTCCCTCCAATACGAGAAGCGGTTGCGGGCGTCGGCCGCTGTCCGGTCGAGGTCGAACGACGACGAACAATGCCATGCTTCCACTCTGCACGACGGGTTCTTCATCTCCCCACAATACACGGGCTACTCGCAGTGGAAGCGGCGACGGGGCGACGGTAAAGGAGACGAAGCGCAGCAGGAGAATGCAACGGGGATGGACGTGGAAGCGACGTTGGTGCAAGGCCATGTGAACTTGAAGGTCGCCGGGCGGCGACGGCGAGGGCAGCTGGTGCGAGCCATTGCAGCCATGGAGGAACTCCGTCTCTCAGTCCTCCATCTCAACATCATCTGCCTCGAACCATCCTCCATACTTTACTCCCTTAACCTGAAGGTTGGCCGATAGCTGCTCCTGTTTCATTCCGTACTTGTACTAGGGAATCACATGCTCGGTTGAAACGAGCTGATGCCTGTAACTTTTCTCGATGCGCAGATGGAGGAGGAGTGCAAGTTGGGGTCAGCGGATGAGGTTGCGACGGCGGTGCACCAGATCTTCAGCTACATCAACGCCTGCTGATGACGCGATGATGAACGCGTCAGGACGTACGAGAGACGAGAGAGACGAGAGAGACAGGACAAGGGAAGAGGAGATGCTCGTCTTAAAGGTGGGGAGGGCAGCGTAACACGTCTCCTACTTCTGCAGCGGCAGCTTTCCTTCTGATACATGCAGTGATGGGAGCTTGGACTCTTTGGGTTGCGGTTTTGCAGCTTTATCTCTCTTCGTTTTCAATCTCTCTTTGGGAAAGGATGCTGACAATTGGGCTGAACATGATTACTGATGATGCAGGATACTTTATCCCGTTATTAACAGTGTGTATTCTGCATGAGTTTGAAGGCATTGGGAAGTTTCGATGAGTACTTCTTGAGACCCGTGTTGGTGCGTTGGCTACGGCCGTAAAGCTAATTCCATGTTACTCGATGTTCCATTGTAGCATTCGGTTGGTTCGGGAAGCATATTAGCGAAAAGCTTCAGTAGTCCACTTTTGTTCGGCAGTGCAAAAAGTAGATTCGCTAGTGGTTCGACTTGTCAACAGTTCCAAAGTCCAACTTTGCCGTGCCAAAACCAGGGGGAGAGAGAAAAATTGGGATGGATGAGCCCGACGCAGTCCCGTGTCCTCCTCAAACCCAGCCCGTCTCATCCTGCCTTATCATAATCGATCTGGGGAAGAGGCCGTGTTTGGGCTGGGCACTGTCTACGTTCCCTTGCATATAGGCTCCATTCCAAAACCTGGGTCAAGTGCATGTGACATGAACCGTGGTCTCTGGTTCGTCGCTGCTCCGATATATAATTTATATTTACATCCTATATCATGTGTCATAAACAACGTTGTCGTTCACTCTCTGCTGAAGTCATTCTAGTCTTCATCTCAGATGACCTTCTTTTCTCCTTTACCAGCCTTGGGGTCACAAATATTAAAGCGCTACGTCGAAATCACGATGAGAACATGGCCTCCAAATCCAGACCATACATACATACACCTCTTACTCCATAAAATTCTGATTTTTTTTGGCAAAGTTGTCGTGAGATCTATTTCTCAGAAATCAGAACAGCAAAATTCGACGGAAAAGTTGAACTAGTCGAAGAGAGAACAAAACAATGATACAAGCAGTTACTGGATTACAGAGCCAATTTTAAGAAATGGAGACGGCGGGCCAGCTCCGAACTCCATGGTGCAGACAAGTCGAGTGCTTTGGTAGCGAAAGGTAACATGGCAAAGCAGGAATAAATAAATCAATAAGAGGGCAGACCACCGAACTCTCCTCACTGTCGATCGTGGACAACACGAGAGTCTCCGCAAATAATTTGTGCTCCACATGATGAACGGAATCAACCAGCATCACGAAGAAGCACTGTCCGTGTGATGTCACATCATGTCGAGCTTTTGCAGGGGCCGCTCAGTCCACCTGATTGGCTCTTCTCCCCTTTGAAAAGCTCCAAGCAATGTTCGTCATCCAGGTTTCTGCTCCAAAACTTGTTGTAGTACTCGTCGTATGTGTAGCTCCTGTAGACCGCTGGTGATCCCTCGGCAAGGAGCTTCTCCGGAGGGCTAATGATCGCGGTGTTGCATGGACAGAGGAAGGACGCCACAGACATCCTTTCGGTGTCCGAGTTGACTACAGCTCGGTGCCAAACGCTCTTGAATCTGGCGTTGCTTAATGCCTGCGTGAAAATATTTAATCGTCTGCAGCTTTTCCAAAGCTTCATCACACTTTTACTTTAAGCCGATAGGCTGATATCATATGTGAGATGGGAGCAGCATCATAGATTTAGTGCTTCTCTGATGCACAAACTAGGAGGACGATATTGGAGGAAAAGAAAAGTAGTAATTGAACATAAACAAATGGAAATCTGAAAGTAGAGCACAAGAACCGATTTACATATTTAATATATAAAGTGCAAGATCGCCTAAGCCCACAATGCTATCGGCAAACATTGTGAATGCCTCTGGAAGAGTTGCATATGTCTGTGAGTAGAAAACGAAGACAGAGACTGGGATCAAGCGGTCTGGTTGCTGGAAAAACATTATTGCTACTTAGACATGGGCAGGATTGGGATAATTGCCAAAGCTCAGCTGCACGCTGTCATGTGCAGGGCATGGCAGGCAAGCTCAGCAAAACGAGGAAATGGGCCAGTGCGTCTGACCATGGCGTTCAAAGGGCAACTCTAAACTACAAACCATGGTCCTTAACACCATCAAAAAATAAGGTGCTTTTCCTTGATTCGTGCAAGAAAGAAGTGCTTTTCCTTTGTTTTTAGGTATCAGGATCTCCTAACGAGATAGAACGAGTGTGTGATTAGCAATCACCTGTAGTTGGTCACCGATGTTGATCACAAACGCATTCGGTCTGGGTTCCACTGCGATCCATTTGCCGTCCTTGAGAACCTGCAAGCCAGCCACGTTGGGCTGCTGGAGAAGAATGGTGAGGGCATTTGGATCAGTGTGTGCGGGCAGGCCATATGTGAGCTCCGGTTCCGGGCACCTTGGGTAGTAGTTGATGGCCATATGCTGCTCCTGCTGTCCCAGCACCCGTTCGATGTACTCCTCCTCCAAACCTAAGCTCAATGATAATGCTCCAAGGAGCCGAAATCCCAGTCGACGAACTTCCTTACAGTAGGTGCTCACCACTTCCCTGGAACACACACAACAGAAAGAACAACGCAGCAATCTCTTCAAACTTAATCATCAAGAAACGGGACCATCCAGTTAAAGAACTTTTATTGCAGACCCATTTGCAGATGCATACGTTCTGCGACTGTGAACATGTGCCTGCACATGCAGGATTTGAGTCATCTGTTTCCCCATATTTAAATGCACTGCTCTAAGTGGGATGTCTTGTATGACTCCGGGAATGGTGCTTTTATGAGTGCACCTATTTTCTGACCAGAGGTTCGTACTGACCCGGATCTTGTCTTCCACAAACTTTCATGAAACCTTGTGTTTTCCCTTGATTTATTAGTCCATGTTATGAAATCTCCGTATAGATAACCATGTTACTGTCAGTCCTATAAAAAAATCTAAAAATATCCCACAAGGAAGGTTTGGTACTGCCTCACACGATGAAGATTCCCCCACTAGAATGTTCTTACCTCAGCAGATTATATTTTCCAGCCATGTTTGTCTTCTACGACAATGACCAATCATAAGATCCAGAGACATGAAGTATTAATTCCAAGTGATCAACCATAATCCATCATCATCAGCAGCTAATGGCTTCATGCACACTGCTACTCTCGTCAAAGAACCAAATTCTAGTGACGACTTAAGGGAACTGGAGTGTTTCTCCTATACATGCATCATGCTCTGGCAGCATCAGATTCTTAACCAGCATCAAGATGCGAGCCTATCGAATCAAGCATACTGGTAATATGCACCTGTCCAATCGCTACATAGAGATTCGATGGGTATTCCAGCAGTCTTTACATCAATGCTTTATTTATTATTATTATTCTTATTATCACCTTTTTTTTTCAGTACATACTCAAATTATTTGACTATTCTTATGCTATTACTGTCCGACTAAAGAGAAGAAGAGGAGGAGAAGCACGAATAACTTACTTGAATGAAGAGGGATTAGAAGGCCAGCCGGGAACGTATTCCTCCAGAGGATAGCAGTGAAGCCGGAGGTAGTCCCTCCAGTTGTGTACCGCCTCCTTTCTGACATTAAAGCTCGTGGAGAGCCTCATTTTCTTGGCCGGGTCATCGGAGTAGAGCTTCGCCTTCTCCTCGGGAGGTAGACGGAAGAATTCCAGACTAATAGCCATCATCTTCACCATCAATTCAGTATCGATTCCATGGTTCACAACCTACAAACGAATAACCCGGGAAATACTCAGCATACAGTTGAGGAGGAAAGGAAGAAGCTGGGTAGTCGGAATTCAATGACCTGGAAGAAGCCATAGGATTGGCAGGCTTTCCCTATCTGGGAGATGATTCGGGACTTATCCGGTGAACCGAGATCGATGATGGGGATGTTTGCGTCGCTGATGACCTGTGTGAGACGAGGTCTTTGAGACTCTGGCCTTACGTAGTTCTCCGGAAGGGTCTCGTGGTAAGTTACGGTGGAGAGGAGCTGATCCGCCATGAGATAGACAGAGGTATCGAAAGGGAGCTTCGAGACGCTGCACAAATAAAGGGAGAAGGCGGACCTCCTCGTTCGCGAGAATATGTTGACGCAGTGAAGAAGCTTCACGCGGGTGATGTAATCGACCGTTGTGATCGTGATGTCAGAACGCCACCTCGGCTACGCGCATGTGCGGACACGTGTGCTCGGCGTCATTCACGTCGACGGTTATGGAACAGCACAAAGTTTCGTCAGCTGCTTTTAAGGGTGCAACCTGTAGTGCAGAGTCAAGGGGTTCACTCTTGAGGTTGGGTATGGGCTCGCTCCGTAGTTGATAGAAAGCTCACATGCTGTGTTCAGTTCGATCCAAGTCAAGTCGATCTTACAACCAGAAGAGGCACGCACACATGTGGAAGACCAACAGCTACTCGTTGCATTATTCTATTGCATTAAATTATTCTTCTCATGTGGAAGACTCATTTGCAGGCCATCTCAATCAATCGTATAACAAGGGAAATAAAAAGAGCCACAGCCTATTAGCTCGATCGAAATTTGAAGGCTTCATCGATACAATGGTTTCGGGCTGTGAACGCGTCGGAGCTACAGCATGGACTCTCAAGTCGATTCAACAATAGGCTTAAATGACAAGGGCATTTGTATGGATCATAGGAAACAAACAATAGGCTGGACTTTGGTTAACAGTCTAAATTGGGCTTGCGTAGGCAAGACAACCACATACTCGAGCCCACCTGGAAGGGTCAACCTCACCCTCCTCCATCCTTTACAGTAGTACTATGTTCATGGCAAGCTCTCGTTGTTGGGATCATGCTTGTCCTTTGTTTACAGTCATTACTAGCGTCCAACACGCCCGCCGAATGTATCAGACACACAAACACTTTTGTGTCAGGCACCTTCGATTAAATCTAGTAAGCTAACCTAAAGTGCTGCATTAAGTATAGAGATGAGGCCGTGTGCTGTGCATGTGGCTGAGCGTACGAAGCTACATCAAAAAGCAGTATAACTAACGTAGCAACATCTTCCAGGAGGAACATATTTCTGAGGAGCATTAGTCATGCTTGAAACCATTTGATGTTGAAAGACGTATGGATAGACAGGCATTATGGTAGATAGGAGGAGCATAAAGACCATTTAAACTGAAAGCTCAAGCAGGTAAAACCGACAGGGCCACGAGACATGCGAATGGTCTTATTATGACCCCCAGTCAACCCAACAAAAAGAAAGCACTCGAGGATACTAGCAGTAGCAGGCATGCCTCCGCCACCATCATTCCATTAGCATAAGCACCGCCAGCCAGTCCGTCCCTTCAGCGAAAGCAGTGCATGATGTGGGAACCAATCCATGGCGAAAGCACTTTTTAGCCCCTCTCTTAGATTAATCTATTCCTCACGCAAAGCCTAAAGCACGTCGTCCCCAGATCCAGACTCTTCTCCTTTCCAAAAGAGCAATGCTGACTACCCATCTACCCTCATCATTCTTCCCCAAACCCCACACATCAAACCCACCACCCCCCGACCCCCAAAAGGTAGCCCATCCCAACTACGTAGCCGCCGTAACTATCCAAGTCACTTCATCCTCAAATAGTACCCAAGTCGACGATCCAACACATTTGCAGCCAACCCTTCATGCAACTGCAACTGGAAGCAGAACCCTCGATCTTCCATTTGGAGATCTCCATTCCGTCCTTGGTCTGCGCCTTGTCGGTCTTTATCGACAAACGAAAGGAAAAGAGACGAGAACTGAAGGTAAAAAGGCAACAGCCAGAAAGAGAGACGATTCTCAATGCTATTGCGGTGGAGAGGAGCAGTGCTTTTCCTAGCAACCTATTGATGGGTCTTCGCTTGACGCCTCACCTCCTCTTCCTTCTCGTCATCAGTCTCTCGTCTCCTTCGCACCAACTCCAGGACCCTGCCCTCATCGACCGGATAGTGAGAGACTCAGCCTTCCGGTCCTATCTCACCGACCACCGCAAGACGGCCGTCGTCTACAATGTCTCACTCCCTCCCAGCGTCTCCGGGGCGACCGTGGAGACTGTGCGGTATCGGACTAGTAGCTTGAGGCGTCACGGCGCCTCGGTCAATGAGTTCCATGTCGCGCCAGGCGTCGTCGTTCATCCCCACTCTAAGAGGCTCATCCTGGTGATTCAGAACCTGGGCAACCTCTCTTCCGTGTACGGCAGCTACAGGAACATATCGAGGTTTCAACTGGTCTCTCCGGTGCTGGGCCTTCTATTCTACAGAGCAGCGAGCATTCGCAATTCTTCGATTCCACCTGAGCTGGAGATCTTGGTGACGAAGAGACCCATCACAGTAGATTTTTCGGGATTGGGGCAGAGCACCAAGGGACAGCGAGTGCTCTGCGCGCTGTTCGAGTTGGACGGCAAACTGAGCCTATCGAACGTGACCCGCAGCAATGCATGTAGTGCTCGAAGTCAGGGCCACTTTGCCCTGGTAGTCGAGACCATTGACAATGCCGGTGGTGGAGAGGAGATGAAGCTGAGCGGATGGAAGGTAGTCGTGGTCAGCGTTGCTGCGGGTGCCTTCAGCGCAGTGCTCTTAGGACTAATCGTGGTGGCCATGGTGACGGCGAAGTGGAAGAGGTTGCGGACTGCGGAGATGGAGAGAAGAGCGTACGAGGAGGAGGCACTGCAGATCTCCATGGTGGGTCACGTCAGGGCACCTACAGCGGCGATGGTTCGGACCACCCCACGTCTGGAGAACGAAGATGCGCCATCTTGGTGACATGAGTCTGATTTATTGTAGGAATCTCTTAGCTCAGCTCGCATTCCATTCATTCGATTCCATAATCGTCACCCACAATCTTTTCTTCTTCATCATCATCTTTGATTTTCTGATAACATTGTCAAGAATAGCTAACACGCGGATCAAGAAACTAGCAGTGTGATTTTATGGGTTAACAGTGCAAAATGTCACTCTAGAATAAGAGAGAAGAAAGAAGAGATAACAATGTACACATGTAAGATGAACTACGGCTAGAGAACCCAAGTAAATGGAAATTTCAGAACAGGAACTGAAATTTGATGAGCCGTGTAAAATTCAGAGGTTCACAGAAGAAAGAATCACCACACAAAAGCTGCTGCCATCAAACTAATTAACCATAACCTGATTTCCATTACTTTCTGCAACTACTCACTTTTTAGCCAAATGATGGATCTACAGGCTACTTCATGTCGAGATTGGGCAAGGAAAATGTCATGCTAGCTCATTGGTCGCACCGCAGAATGGTAGAAAACGGATCACATCAGTAAACTTGCTTGGTGTCCAAATATCGCATGATCTCTAGAAAACAAAATCAAGTCGATGAGCATAGAGTTCCAAGTAAGCATTAGCTCTGCCTCTCATTTAATAGGTAGAAGAGCATTTTCCTTCAGTCAAGTAAATCTACATGTAGGATGCAGGAAATCTAATTTTTCTTATTTCACTCAATAGAGAAAAATAACAATAAGAATTTTTTCGGCAGATAGTTATTTCTCCCTATTGTGCCCAGCATCATATGTATGTCACTGAATTTTATACAAAAGTCAATAAATTTACAGATCCGAGAGGTCAATTAAACATTGCTACATCCCATGGGTCTTTCTTCCTGGAAATCCAATGCGCAGCTCCGTCTCTACCTCAGTATGTTGGTCAAGGTTGGTGGATGGTACAACTTCCTTGGAAGCAGCAGATGGCAACCCCGGCAGTAGCTTGCACTTCCAAGTTCGAACATTAACAATGTCAAATCAGTTAAATGCTTTTGCAGTCCCAGTGATGCAAAGAAGATTTTTTGGCCAAATTATGCCATCAAAAAAAGCAACTTAATTCAGCAAATTGATTCGACGTACCTTTTCACGTAGCAATGAATTTTCCTTCACTAAGGAACTCTCCTGAATCAAATGAGTGAATAATATTAGCTACAGATGCTGTACATGCCTGCAACACTTACACCAACAGCAAAGCTTCGAGTAATTTACCTTCTCTTTTAGCTGTGAAATTTTCTCGCTTAGCAAATGATGCTGAAGGTAGTATGAACAAGAGCATGTAATCAGTATCGGTTTCCTATTGCTAATTTGATACGAGTAGTACTGAAATGTTCAGCAACCGACTTGCCTTTCTCCCTCTGATACTGCGCAAGCTCTGCTCTATCGTGCCTTCTAATTCATGCAGTTCCTCTAATGAGCACGACTCTAGTTTTTCACCCAAGAGCTTCCTGCATCGATAGGATTTATTATGCCCACAAAATCTTGTATTGACTGCAACAGTATCAGATGAGCAGGGTATCAGACTAGAAACTTACTGCTTAGAGGCTTCAAGTACTTCAATCTTCTTCGAGATGAATGATGCTTCGTTTTTCCATTGCTACACTCGACAAAACTATCTTTTAAGAATCTAAATGAGAAGAAAAAGGCAGACATTTTTTTGGCTCTGGCAGAAATCAAATGCTAGTGAACAAGGTGTATGATCACTTGTTTTCCACTTAATTGACCAGATTAGTACGACTATAGAAACTCTTTAGAGTTGGAAACAAAAGAAAGCTGCACCTCGGCGTCTTGTTCCATGGTCGTGCTGCTGGTATCTTCCTTCGAGTGTTCTCTGTAACGCTCGATGGTGCTTTGCATGCTAAAGAAACCAAAAACAATTTCGAAACGTATTAGTTTCTGATACGGACAACGGATGGCTTCATGAAAGATGATCTAGCGACATGAGAACCAGAACCGCAGAAACATCATGCAACATGATGCCCATGCAACAGAAGCTTATAAATATGTTTGTAAGATATTAGGAAAGAACTTAGGTTCTAATATATTCTTTCTAGATAATACCTTCTTTCATCTTTATGATCATACTTCCTTTTTAATATCATGGCAAACTAAGAAAATACTAAATGATATCGGTTGCCCTAATTATCTTTTTTATAAGATTTTATGTATTTTGTAAGGCCAATTCTTGTTATTTATGTGAAAACTTCTCCAATTCTAAATACGAGTAACCTAACTCAATCAAGCTTATGAAGAGACCTAACACAGCCCTAGTTGTGACATTATAGACAAAATGTTTTAAATGAAAAGAGAAACTGTGGTTTGGTTTTAAATGAAAAGAGAAACTGATGGACATTATAGACAAAATGTTTATATTGGAAGAAAGAATATGAAGGAGTAGAGTTGATCCATTCCTACAAAACAAATGGCCTAACAAAATTTTATTTGAAGCACACAAGTGTCAAAAAATATATTGTCAGTGACCATAGATTTATATATTCAACGGGACTATAAGAGAATAATCGCGGGTTAGAATTAATATTGCTACCTTTTGGATCATATGATATTAATGATAATTTAATAAATAATTTAAATCTTATTCATTAATGAGGAAGACAAATCTAATTTGAATTGTCATATATAAAAGATGTGACTCTTGAGTAGATGTTACTTCAAATATTTAGATATTAATTCTAAATTGATTTCTTGATGGAAGGTATCTTTTTGTCACTGTAAATTCATAATTTGGTCCTCTCTCCACACATAAATCAAAATACGGTATTTGTATCGATAATGTATGTTAAGGTAAAGGGATAAGGGAGAGAAACCAAAAATCTATCTATTTGAGTTATCTTTCAGGATATTCAATTTCTCAAAGGATCAAGGTATATTCTTTAACCAAAATTTATTTTTGTGATAAATCACTAAGTCTAAAAATCATGAGATTTATGTAATGCATGCACTATGATATTTTATTTGTGCATGTTTACATGTGGTATCACAACCATGATTTAGGGCTTATGATTTTTTATTATTGAATTTGTTTATCTTATTATCACATCAAATTATGATTCTACTATTTTATAAATTTGATTATAATTTAAGTATTAACAATTAGATTTGACTCTGTTTAGATTGTATTAATCATGAAAATCATAATTCATTTTTTTGAATTTTATAGAATGGATGACTCTAAGTCATATTATGATAATGAATTAGATAATGGTATTATGATTTTATTTCATATATCAAATTATAAGTAATTTGATATGTATTATGTGGTTTCTTGGTCACCAAAGTGGTTGAACATTATGATCGCATAAATATTAATTACATACCCAAAGTTTGATCTATTATTCTTATAACTAATAAATATAATTATGATTGTTGATATATTCTATTAAATTATTTTATGTATCCAAAAATAATAAATATATGTAGTTTGAATATATTCAATTGTTAAGTAAAGTGAGACATAAAGAATGTATATCTTAATTAGTCGAAAGGAGAATTTTGATATGCAACGTTTTAGTCGTGATTTTGATCATGAACTACTTAAGTCCTTATGATTTACTTTTGCCTAAAATAATCAATATATTTTCAAAAACATAATATATAAGCTCCTTCCGGTCTAAGTTAATTGACCTTAGAGTCAGCTTACGAAATATGCTGACTCACAATAAATTATTAATATGATGATATATAATTTAAGTTTAAAAAAATATTAAATATTATTTTAACCCTTATAGTTTTGATCATAGACCACTTAAGTCCTTATAGTTTACTTATGTTTAAAATAATCACTACATTTTCAAAAACGTAACATATAAGCCCCTCGCATCAAGTTTGAATTAATAATATTAGAGTTTAAAAAGGGTGTAAGGTCCATCTTGTCAAGAAAGAAGAAGCGAGGAAGGCCATAGCGACAAACGAAGATGGAGAGGCCAAAGGTGGAGGTGAAGGTGAAGGAGAGCTGGACCACAACGTCATAGGCGCGACGGATGAGGGCACATAAGAGGACGAAGTGAGAGGTGGTGGGGACGAAGACACCTAGGAGGAGGAAAAGGGACCAGGAAACTATTACGTTCCTAACATTGGATTAGTTGACATACATCCACCTGAGGTAGGATCAGAAGCTCTTGAATCTCATTAACGAGGGAGAGACTGTGTGCGTACGATACTCTGCTAGGTAGCAATAACTCAATACTATAGTTGGTAGTCATTTCCACGATGATGCCTTCTCCCGTTAATCATCTTCGTTTTTCTTAAACTTAAATTACATATATCATTATATTAATAATTTATTATGAGTCAACATGCCACATAATCATACTCTAATGTTTGTTAACTTAGACTTGATGGGAAAAAATTATATATTATATATTTTTAAAAGATAAGGGTTATTTAAGATATAAATAAATCATAATGGCTTAAGTAGTCCATGGTCAAAACTATAGGGGCTAAAATGGATCTTAAATTTTTTTTTTTCTAATTTAAATTATATATATGATTATACTAATAATTTATTATGAGTCAGCATGCTACATAGATTCTAACGTTTATTAACTCAAATTTGACGGAAGAGACTTATATATTATATTTTAAAAATATAAGGATTCTTTTAGATACGAATAAACTATAAGAACTTAAGTGATCTATAACCAAAACAATATAGGTAAAATGATCCTTAACTCTTTATAATTCTAGTAATTTGGCGCTTTGAGAACCCAGCGGTAACAAAGAAAAGTCTTTCCATAAAATTTGAAAAAGAGCTAATAGATTAAGCTTAATGTTTACACAAATGAAAATTGCAAAAACACATTAAGTCTACTTTTCCCAAAATTGATGGTGCTAAAGAATTCATGAAATTTGTATAAGAGTGTTATCAAACTACTAACAAATCCTTTGCTGGTAAATAAATGACCAAATTAACTACTATAAAAATTGATGGTTCTTGCAGCATACATGTGCATGTCCTTGAAATGGCAAATTTAGCAACAAAATTAAAGGTTTTAGGAATGAATGTAGATAAATTCTTTTTAGTATAGTTTATACTTTATTCCTTGCCTTCTCAACGATATGGGCCATTTCAAATGAACTATGACACTATTACGGAAAAGTGAAGTGTTCATATAACTAGTATTGTTGTTCAAGAGGAACAAAAGGTTCATTCAATTTATTTTGTAAGCCATCAAGAAGTTGAAAAGTAGCATAAAGAGAAGTTCGAAAAGAGCATAAAAAAAGATTGTATAATGTGAAGGAATCCTATAAACATGCTCAAATCCACAAAATGGAACGGGAAAATGATATATTGCATAGTTGACTTGCCCAAAACGAAATGTTTGGCTCGAAAAAGAAAAGTAAGCTTGTGCTTTTATATGTTTCTATTCAAACTTAATAAAAGTTTCTTATAATGCTTAGTAGATTCATTCTCAATCAACTACTCATATTTCTAATATGATGCAAGGATTTCTTACTTGTCATGACCATGGTTCTGGAATCTAACGATTTCGATTTTCCAAAACTTGAAATCAAAATGGCAAGGGCTAGTTCTGGTTTCGGTTCCAGTTTTGTCACGATTCTAGTTCAAATCAATAATTTATTATTATTATTATTATTATTATTATTATTATTATTTAATAAAAGTAATTTAAAATATGAAAAATCATAATTTTATTTCTAAAATTTGAAAAAAAAAATGGATGTACAACTATAATGAGTTTAATAGCATAAAAAAATTTGATATAAAAAATAAAAAATAAAATATTTAATCACTTTTAATGTTGGAAGTTACCATAGTTGTTACTTCACTTGATACGTTGAATAAGCAATCATTGTCTTAGTAGATAATCTCTTTATTTTGTTTCACGGTCCAACCATTGATATATGCTTGAGCTTCAATTAATACGAGGGTCATGATTTGTTAGGAAAAAATTGTTAAAACGGAATAATTATTTTTCCTCTTTATGTATCAAAATATATTCTTCATCAAAATACCAACTTGATATCAAAATGCTAATATTAACTAGAACAATATAAACAATAGAGCAATAAATCAATCACATAGTGAGACCAAATCTTTTAACGTGGAAAACCCAACGTGGAAAAAATCACAGGATCATAGCTCACCTCAAACTTCCACTATCAATAGTAATGATAACAAATTTATAATAGGTCTTCTCTAGAATAACTAGAGGATCACAATAACAAACATATATCTCCTTAAAAGATAATTCTAAGTTTTACAAAATGGGTATAACAGGAAAGTACCTCAGAGAGGGTAAAATGTAGATCAACACCGTTAGGATTGTAGAGCTTACTGCAAGGATTCTTCATATAAAATTTGGATCAAAACCGATAATGTTTGACCACTGATCATCATAATCTTTCTCTCTCCTTCTCTCTCTCTCTTTTGTCGTGTGCTGTCGTCGTTCACTGCACACGCTCGCTGCACGCTGCAAGCTTGCTGTGTTCTCACGCTGCAGACATCACAACCCTACCTCTCTCTTTTTAATTTATTTGATTTGGGCTCAAACGATCCAATTTCTTCATATAAAGTACAGATACTTTCCTGCTATACCCACTTTGTGAGACCTAAAATTCTCTTTTGAGGAGATCCATCCTATATGATGATATGCTAGAGCCAAGATCTATGTTCTTGATGTTATTATGATCCTCTAGTTATTCTAGAGAAGACTATTATAAATCTGTTATCATTACTATTGATAGTGGAAGTTTGAGGTGGACTACGGTCTCGTGGTTTTTCCCACATTGGATTTTTCATGTTAAAAGATTTGGTCTCACTGTGTGATTGATTATTTGTTATATTGTTTATGTTGTGTGCTGGTTGATATTTACATT